TGCTCATCAAATAAGATTTTATCATTCTGTATAATTTTTAGCCATCTAAAAGTATTATCGGTATGTAAATAAGGCTCCAGTTTTACATTTGAAATTTTACTCTAATGTGTAAATAGCTAATAAATTAATCTTTAAACTTCTGTAGGTTAAGTAACTAAGTAGTGTCCCCAATTAGTTTTTACACCTGTAAAGCTAAATACATTGACCCTTGAATAAAGTTTTTATTCAATCATTCATTCATTCACTTTCACCGTGACTTTTTCATCTTCTCTGATCTTACGGAAAGAATTGTTATATTCCAACGACGATTAGTCTGCGAAGAATTATCTCTGCTCGGTTTCAAATGTCAAGAAAAGTGTAAGTTAATTCAAATGTATGTTTTGAAGTTGTAGTAGTCTGCTTGTTTGCTTGCTGTAATGGCGTCTGTAAAATCTTTCTTCCACCGAAAAATTGAAGTCAAAAAACATGCTTTTTCTAGCTAGACACAAGGGGATGTAATGCAACTTGAAGTAATCGAATTTCTTCGGTTTCTGTTGTGAAATGTACGGTAGAAATATTTAAATTGCTTGGACTTGCAAAGAATTAGCGAAAGTTTATTTACAGTGGAACTCAAACTTTCGCTCGGCTTAACGTCTTAAAACGAACAGATTGTTTTGGAGAATTTAGTCTGATATTAAATGAATGAAAGTTACATCGATAAATGTAATTGTTAGCCGCAAATACCTCTCTTTTTTACTTTCTTGCTTACTTTTTGAGGATTATTGAATTACAAACGGCATTGTAGGTCGTATGTCAATCTATTGAAAAACACATTTATTACCAAATCAATTCTTTTTTATTTGAGAGATCTAATTGATAAGTTAAATATCGCCTAAAGGTCGTAGCCGAAATCTCTGCTTACAAATGCTAACTAGCTAGCCGGTAAAACAAAATACATTTATGAGAGTTTGCAACGGAACTTAGGATGTACCAGGCAAGCAACTCAACGCGCAACGGATAGGATACGCCCCGCTGTGAGCGGGCCGAAATGGGAGAATACCGCTCGCTCTCGGAACGAATCAGATCGTAGGATTTGTAGAATCCCGCGCGCTCAGGAACTGACAAAAAAATAATTATGGGTTGTTAACCAAGAGTGAGGTCAAGATGGCTGGATATTGGCAGCGTTCGTCTCGGTCCATAAAAATGCGAAAAAGGAACGAGGCTAATATCCAGCCATCTTGACTGAACAAGCTTGGTTAATGATGATTTATTATATCGCAAAAAGATTACGCTTTAATAAGAATTAATGATCTNACCATCAGGAGTTTAATGGAGCTTTAAATAAATAGCAATCTTCATCATTGACAGAAATTTGGAAGAAAAAAGAGGAATTAATCAGTAGTAGCAGTTGTCAACAGTCAGAAGTGAGGCACCATGGCCTCATGGTTAGTGCACATGACTCCGGATCAAGTGGTAAGCGTTCAAGTCCTGGCCAGGACAATTGTGTTGTGTTCTTGGGCATTACACTTTACTGTCACAGCGCCCTCTCTTCCCCTAGGTGTTTAAATGCCGAGGGGAATTTAATGCCGTGGGGGTAACTCTGCAATGGACTAGCATCCCATTCAGGGGGGGAGTAGAAATACTACTAGTTGCTTCATGTTACAGAAACTGGAGTTAAGCGCCGTCTGATGGGCCAGTTGGCTCGTAAACAGACTTTGGCAGTTGTCAGTAGCATACATACATGTAGCCATTTTATTATTTGCAGACTGAGGCACATTTCTTCAGTGTTTCTGAACGATCAGCTGCTAATGTACCAAACTAAATGAAGATTTATTTGGAGATTATTAACCTCAAAGGGGCATCACTAATCCATATTTATCATATGAGACTGATCTGATCTGGGAAATTTAATTACATTTAATGTAATTCAATCTAATTCAGTGTTACACAATTTGGTCCATACTGCAGTTATGAAGTGTACTCATGAATTCAGGTGATGGGTAAACCACTGACACCCAGTCCATTAATTAAGTACTTTGATGAATTTATCTGAGGGCCTATCATTTCATAAGGCACACAGTGAAGTG